ATTTTGAGCATCAGATTATGGCCATGAGGTTGCAGCCCTCTGGCAGGATTCTCCGCAGGGCCCCAGGGTGATAAGAGACCTGCTGTTATCATCACCCTTACCAGCAGCCACTATCAAAGCTGGCCACTCTCGAGTCTTTTCTGCCCTCAGCTTACATGGGCAGATGTTCTAAGTCCTATGTAAATATACATCTGCATCTCCAAGCCTCACTAAACCACGGAAGGTATAGCATATTTTGGCCCTAAATTCATTATCATTCTAGCCTGGACACATTTGTGACCTTGTGATGAAAATAGAAGGAAAAAGCACTTCCTTCCTGTCCTACACCAGACAGGACTCCATTTCCACACACAGGAAGAGTCCAGGTCAGAGTGGTCCACAGAGGGGCAGGGCGCACACTAACACAGAAGAGAAAGAAACAGGTAGAAAGGAGCTGCAGAGAGGAAATAACTTGGCAAATGCAACCGAAAAGGTGAAGTGTCTTTTGGCATGCAAGCAACAGACTCTGAGTATAATTCCCATTCCCCAGTTCCTGTTGAACTACACTTACTAAACCAAGCTTTTCAGGTGCCTCTGTGTGCTGCTTGTCAGCTGAAGGTGACCGGTGGGGCCCAGATAAGAGGGGCCTCAGTGAGGAGTGGAAGGGACTTTTCTTTCGCCTAGAATAAAGGGAACAAGGGGGCAGGCAGGAGGAAGTTCAGAGGTAAGCCAGTGGCTTCTGTACCAGTTGGGGTTAAGGTGATGAAGCTGAACCTGACAGACATTGCAGGAGGAGTGTGAAGAGACATCAAATGAAAACAACGAAAATCAAACTAAACCAAGGGATTACTAGGTAACGAATCTGCCAAGACAAATGACAAAGACGAGTTCAGCTGCTTTGACCTGCTTGATTTTCACAAACATCTAAGACATGTTTCTAGTTTTCAAAACTTTTTATTTACAGCACCATTGCACATCTTTCACCTTCAAAAGGTATGCAGATATACATCCATTGGGAGGGGATTCACATGTATTTGGTGAGGAGTTACACAAACTCTTAAAATTTTACCAGTCCACCCAAATGCCACAATTACACTTTGGCAGACTTGCCCATGAGGACAGAGGGAGGGCTTTAAGCAACAAAACTCCACAATACTGTAACATAACCTCAGACCTCCAGGAAGGGGCCACTCTCCCTGAACAGTCATTCTTTCTAGCTTCTTCTCATTAGAATTCAGAGTAAGTTCCGTGTCACTGGCCTGAAGGTGCCAGGTCTACCAAGAGGCTGACTATTTAGCAAACATTCAAGAAACTTAAAGGAAAATCCAGAATAAAACAAAAAGAGAAGGAATGCCAGAAAAATACCATCTGCAGTGACTAGACTCCAAAGTCTAAGAACATTTGCATACACCTAGGATTGGGTCTGATGTGAGTTCCATTTAAGAAGCTAATTTCCTAGTTCAATAACTTTGTTCCCACCTGTGACCACTTGGTGTAAATATGCTCAGAAACACAAAAAGCAACAGTATATCAGGCAGAGGCCAGAACTATAGAACAGGCGCGCTGTTACTACTGGTCACAAACTAAATTCAAAACCCAAGTCCCTCCTTTTTTTGAGACCGCACTTCATCTAGACTAACCAGCCTCAAATTCACTGTGTAGTCAAGGATAATTTGAACTTGCTCCTGCCTCAACCTCCCAAGTGCCAGATGACAGGCGTGAGCAACCACACCCACACTCGTGTTTCTTAACTACTCTTCTCTGCAGTCTTTAATTACAAGAGTATAAGAATACATGTAAATGCCAGATACTTTAAAATTCAGTTCATATATTTTGCCCTTGCAGAGAAAATAGGATTTTGGCCAGAAGCAGTAAAGATTTTTTAATGTCTAAACTTGTCCTAAGCACACAGATGAACTACTTACTAGGAAGTAACAACAAGAATGATCATCAAATTTAAAATTGGAAATTTGCTTTGCTGTATTGTTTTGGTTTTGAGATGGGATCTTGCTAGATATGTAACCCAGTCTGGTCTCAAATTTATCGTGCCTCAGCCACCTGAGTACTGGGATTATAGGCATGCACCGCTTCATAATTGATCATTTTATTTTTTTAATATTTTATTATTTTTATTTTATGTGCATGAGTGTATTGCTCACATGCATGTAAGTGCACCACATGCAAGCAATCCCCACAGAGGTCAGAAGAGGGCATTGGGTCCCCTGGAACTGGAGTTACAGTTGTAAGCCACCAAGTGGGTGCTGGGAATCAAACCTCGGTCCTCTGTAAGAGTTAAAGAATCATCATGGAAGATTGAAAGCAAATGCGTTTTTATTCATTTCATTCACTGTCCTCAGGGCTAATCTGTAAAATGCAATTTGAAAGCCTTTTTTTCAATATTTTATTTATTTTTATTTTATGTGTATGAGTGTTTTGCCTACATGTAGGTGAGTGCACCCATGTTGTGCGATGCCCTCGGAGGACAGAAGAGGCTGTTGGAGCCCCTGGAACTGGAGTATGGACAGTTGTTAGCTGCCATGTAGGTGATGGGACTCAAACCCGGGTCTTCTGCAAGAACAACCAGCGTTCTTAACTGCTGAGCCATCTCTAAAGTCTTTTTTTTTAAGGTGGTTTTTTTTTTCTCCAAATGTCAAAAAATTCTACCTAAAACAATGGTAATTTTCACAAGTAGTTTGCTCTCACCTTTAAAAACATTGCTTGGCTCAGAGTGTAGCTCAGTGGTAGCGTGTATAAGGCTCTGGGTTCAAGCCTCAGTAACAACAAATGACATAAACTTGGAAACATTGCTTGCAAACGTGAATCATAATCCAGGTGTGGTGGTGCATGCCTATAATCCCGTGACTAGGGAGACTAAAGGTTGAAGAGTTGGGTTTTGTAAAAAGGGAATCCTGTAGGATAGATGGCATTACAAACACTGTTGGGCTTGAGGGTGGGCTTCCAGCAACAACATCTAAGCCTGGTCACAGCTAGTGGTTTAGAAGCAGGAGGTAAAACCCTTCCCCAGGAAATACATGGCAGCGCCTAGAGGACCTTTTCGTTCTCATGGCTTGGGGAGATGATACTGGCATTTGTGACCAGAAGCCAGGGATGCTACTAAACACCCTGTAGTACACAGCTTGGTCCCACCACACCCAATTCAGAATGCCAGTATGTCAAAATGGAGAGCCCATGGCTTAAACCCAACAAGTGCTACTTCCCAGGGCAGCTCCTGATAATAATTCCAATGATCATAAGCCCTAGTGAATCTCTTGACATTCAAAATATCCACTCCTGTTCAATTTTGGAGCTCCTAATTTATAGCAAGAATTCTTTTTATCAACAATGGACATTGGTAACCCTGTGGGTCAGGAAATAAATATCCGTTATTTAAAAAAAAAAAAACTGGAAGTTGGAAAATGAAACAGACTAAGAACTTCCTATAACTGGTGCTGAAGTAGTGTAGAAAAGACATGGTCCGCTGAAAAATAAGGGCAGGAGGGCAATGGAAAATGCTAGAAGGGCAGAGAACAAGTTAGCATTCAGGACACCTACAGAGGGTGCCACGGAAGTTATAAAAAACATTTCCAGACCTGGGGACATAGCTCAGTAGTAGAACACATGCCTCCTGAACATGAAGGCCCTGGAGATTGAGCACCGCCATATTAGGAAAGAAAATAAAAAAGAAGGAGGAAGGGAAGAAGAGAGAGCTCTAGGGCAGGGGAGGGGGAAGGAGAGTATTTTCTGGAATGAATTTAAGCACACAAGAACACAAACTGAATGGCAGTGTTTTCCTAAGCTCAAAGAAATTGTGTTGTAAATATATTGTCTACCAGATGCTACTATTATCCAGCATAGCTGATTCAGAGGGGAAAAAATACCTTGTGCTTCCTCCAGAGAACAGGCAAGACAAAGATCCAGGAAACTCCAAGTAAAACTAGTACACAGTAGACATCACGGTGCTGAAGGTGGTACGTACAACCCTTCTCACAAAATCACTATACCTACTCAGCTTCCTTGATTATTAAATGCACTCAGTCACACTGCCTTCCAAAAGTAATGTTTCTTGCCTATAATTTGGTATGCAGCTGTCAATCAAAATGGTTTTCTGAGGTTAAATTTAACTATGTTAAAATTAAGTGCCCTTTTCTTTCCAGAAAAAAAAAATACTTCAGAGATTAAAGTATTTGTTTACATTATTTACATGCAAACTAAAATACACTCCTTTAGCCAGCATCAGGAAAACTGTGAAATTATAATGTTTTCCTTTCAATAATGGCAGAATAATATGAATTCAAATTTGGAAGTTAGAGACAGGTTTCTACTTTGACTCAGACTAAGGCATTTCCAACAGTGTTTATGTAGAAGAATTTGACTCACATTTCACAGAGGTGAGTTTCTTAGAGAATCTTCTCATTTATGTGAGTGTGGACATCACACATTGGATAATAAAAGTATAAATTTTGTCTTATTCTTTGCTCCTTTCCTAGATTAAAAAGTGCCTTGGGCATATTTTCTATTTACTTATGATCAATCTAAACTTAAAGAACTATTTAAAGAACAAAGAATTCTTCCACTACTGATCAGAGCTGCTTACTTCTCAGCTTTCACATTAGACTAAAACACAAAAGTCTTTTGGAACAGGATCTCATTAGTTTGCCCTGGCTAGTACATTGAATCCCAGGGTCAAGTGATCCTCCTCAGCCTCCTGAGTAGCTGAGACTAACAGATATGTGCCACACACACCCCCATGCTCATCAAAGACAATTTTTAATAATGTTTGCACTGGAAAACATGGATGATATTTCTGTGACTATCCACTACTTCTGAGAACCCCTATGCAGTTTATATAAATAAGACTCAACTCAGAGAGGATCACTTTCAGTTAGTCTTATAATCTGTTGAATAAGATGCTAGCTCCCTAAGTCAGGCACCCCTCCTGTTCTGGAACCTATAGGAGACTTTTAAACACTGATGCCTAACCAAGGCATTAAACACATGACAGATGCTTTCCACTACTAATATGGTTCAGTTATGTGTCTGAATCAGATTCTGATCAATTTATTTGTACTTGGTAATACCGGGCAGAGACATAAAATTCTAAGCTCCTCCAAATATATTGAAAGTAGCAATCAAATTAATTTTTATTTCTCCTTTGGAAATCAACTTCTCCATCCAGTTAGTTGTTGTCAACTATAATAAATACTTTAAAATATTTTTAATTACAGGAAAGACAGCCTAGCTTATTTATTTGGCAGGAATTGGTACCCAATGGCACGTCTTCTGACCCAGGAATATTCTTTTTCCCCTGGCAATGCTGCTTTGATCAACACGGTCATACAAAAGAAGGCGCTAAGAACATTCAGACAAGAAAACCATTATCTGAACACTAAATGACAGCAATTCTTCCTGGAGACTCTCAAAGACAGTAAGTATGTATGGAGGAGCATTTAAGGGGGCAGCAGTGTAACCTCGCACTGCCACATGGAAAGAATGTAGTGTATAGTTAAAACACACTATAGCTGCAGTTCAGTTCCCAGTAGAAAGTAAACATTACTCACTTCGCACCTCACAAAATGGAGAGCCCAAACCCATTTTTTCTCACCACCCCAGAAAATTCTACCTCCTCTAATGCTCTGAGGACATTTTCTACCCTAATACATTCTTTTTTCCCACCTTTATTTGACATGTTCATTTTGCATTATCCAAAACCAAAACTAAGCAAATATACGTCTGCAGTGCCACAAATGCCTTACTTTTATCTTTGACGATCTTGGACAGAAACGGGAGAGAGCACAGCCATTCTGGTGTGTCAGTTTTTTTGGCACACTTAGTCTATGAGCTCAGAGAGTCTGCTAGAAGTTCTGATCAGTTTAAAAACAAGGCTTAAAAGGTGCAGCTCATTAACAGAGCTTACTTAACATACATGAGGACCTGGATTCAATTCCCCAGCACCACAAGAAAAACAAGAATGACTTTGAATCCAGTGCCCACAGTCATCGAGTTTGAGCCCTCAACATCCCTGATATATACAACATTAGTGCAGTTCACCTTAGAAAATGCACGTTCAAACTAAAGCTGGTGCAGAGCAGCATGAGCTACCAAGGGTAATGGGAAGGGGTTAGTCCACATGACAATCAACAGGTATACTTCACCCATGTCCCCAACACCCAACCTGTACTGACACAGAGTGCACACACCAAGTGTAGTTAGAGCCCACAACCCACAAAGCTCTTCCCACAAGTCGAGCTGGTGATTCCAAAGTGCTTGTCTACCTAGTCTGATTCTATGTGGGTACCAGACTAAAAATGAGTACTGTTTTCATAACATTGTTCCTCCTGAGTTTTACTGAGGCTTTGTCCGTGGTCCCTCACACAACCATCCAAAACCACATCAATGGCCACTTCTGGGGCATCTCTTATGTTTCGGTATGTCTCTAGAGCTGGTCCACCATTGTGCTCTGCACAGCCGTTGACGTGAGCCAGTGGCAGCGCTCCTGGGGGGCAACACAGCTTCTTAGCGCAGCTCTGAGAGATGCAGGGGGTGCTGCAGTTCAACAGGAAGTCCTTCTGCACCAGGGCCTCCTTCAAGTCCACGGCTTCAAACTGTATCGTCACATTGTGGATTCCTGCACTGTGGAAGATTTCTCTGATCTTTCTGCTGGCCTCCTGGTACCCCGTGTCCTTCTGGTACTTGATGTGCAGGGTGGCGATGATCTTCCCACTCACAAGTTCCCAGATGTGCACTTCATGCATGCTGCTAATTCCAGGCACTGCATCGACCTTGCTCACTAGAATAGAGAAGAGCAAACAACAGCAGATTGTGGGTGCTGGAACGGAAAAATGGAACCATGGGAGGGGCGTGGAATCTAAGCATGCTCACCACGAATGTAGAGATGTATGTTCACCAAGACCACCAAAAAGAAAGAGTTTTCCCTCTATGACTCCATTTCCCCACACTCTTTCTCCTCTCTGAATTCCTATACTACACAGTTTTAACCTATAAAAATGAATTCAAGAACCTAAGGCAGGAGATTGCAAGTTCAAGACCAGCCTGGGCTATATAGCAAGTTCTAAGTTAGTCTGGGCTACATGTCAAGAGTCTGTTCCAGGCCAGCCTGGACTACATAAGGAAATTCTATCTAAAAGACAAAAGGATCATATGAATGAAGCATAGCAGCACATGCCTGTAATTTCAGCACTTGGAAAGCAGAGGCAGGAGGATTACTGCAAGTTCAAGGTCAGCCTGATTTACATAGCAAGTTCAGAAATGGCCAGGACAACATTTGACATAGGGAGACAGTATGCCAAATAAATAAGATAGATAGATGATAGATAGATAGATAGATAGATAGATAGGTGATAGATGATAGAAAATAAATAAATAAACAAACAAATAAATAAATAATAATAAATAAGGTAGTTTAACAATATGGACCAAAAGCATTTTGGAAATTCTAATTCTAGGGATTTATTTTAAAGGGAATAATCACAAAAAAGTCTACCAATGCCCTTGGAGGTCAGAAGAGGGCATCAGATGCCCTGGAACTGGAGTTAGGGATGGTTGTTAGCAGTCATGTGGGTGCTGGGAATCAAACCCGTCCTCTGCAAGAGCAGCCAGTGCTCTTAACCGCTGAGCCATCTCTCCAGCCCTGAGAGTTTGACTTCTATCTGAGAAAAGCAAATGGATTCATTCATGAATACAAGAAGAACCTGAAATTAAAACACTATCCTTTTTACAGTATTATGCACCACAGAGTAACTTCCACAACCATAAAAGTCAACTAACCGGAAGGCAGGGTCTAGAATGTTAATGACTCATCATTTTTTAGAAAAAAAAAAAAAGGACTGTAAAATCAAAGTCTTACAGAAGTGACCTTATTTGTAGTTAAAATAATCTTTGGCATGGGGTCAAATAGTCCAGCGGTCGTACTGCCCAGGCATTACATTCTCAATGAGCAGGCGAGTCACAGAATCAGGTCTCAAAGGACCTTTGGCTCTCAGAGCTTCAAACCATCATGCCAGGAAGGTTGCAAGCCACCTGAAGCATGCCTCCATCACAAGCTGATCTTGGGTGCTCCAGAAGGCATCAATCAAACACTGCTCTGTGACCACAACCCTCTGGCTTGACCTCCCTTAAATTTACAGTGGTCCCCAGACACAGTGCAGTCCACTTACTCAGATCTTCCATGTTGACTCCCTTGGGGACCATCTGCAGCAAGATGACAGCAGTCTCCTTTATGAGTGGGAAGGCAGATGACAAAATAATGATGACCATGACAACAGTCAGACTGGGGTCAATGTAGCATTGCCAGTTACACGGGTCTTCACGTCCCAGGGGACGGACATAGAATATGATGGCCGTGATGACTACAACCACAGACCCCAAGGCGTCTCCCATCACATGCAAAAGAACACCTGCGAAGAAGGAAGATGGACCAGTAAAACCCAGAGCCCGGTGTTGGAGCACGTGATGATCATCAACCTAACTTCCAAACTTATGAAGGCCCGTCACTGTCTTCTGTTAGAACATGGAATAGATCGGAATTTAAAAATTAAAAAGTAGGTAGGGGTTGGAAAGATGGCTCAGGGTTAAAAGAACCAGCTGCTCTTGCAGAGGACTCAGGTTCGAGTCCCAGCACCCACACGGCAGCTAACAGTCATCTATAACTCCAGTTCCGCGGCAATTTGACACTCTTTTTTGACCTCTGTGGGCACTGCACAACACGGTTGCACTTACATACATGCAGGCAATATACTCATATACATAAAAAATTTTAATTTAAAAAATAAGCCAGGTATGGTGATATACCTTGTAATCCCAGCACTTGGGAAGCAGAGGAAGGAGGATGGTCTAGGTTCCGTAGTGAGACTCCATCTCAAAACAAACAAAATAGCAATGACATCTACTCAGAAAATAAAATCCCAAGCCAGGGTTGGTGAGATGGCTCAGCAGGGTAAGGGCACATGTGCCTGCTGCCAGCCCTGGCAACCTGGGTTCCATCTTCAGGGTGCACATGGTGTTGAAAGCAATCAATTCCTGCAGATTGTCTTCTGTCCTCTGACATCCACATGCATACCCACGTATATACACACATGCACACAAAAATGTAATGAAAACCATTTAAACAGCCAGGTGTGATGGTGCACACCTATAATCCCAGCACTTCGGAGACAGGGCGGGCATGTCTCTGTGAGTTTGAGGCCACTCTCATTTACATAGTAAGTTCCAGGCCAGCCAAGGCTACATAGTGAGACCCTATCTCAAAAACAAATAAATTTTAAAAACTAAATCTCAGCACTCAGGAGGCAGAAACAGGTGGATCTCTGTGAGTTCAAGGCCAGCCTGGTTGTCACAGTTCCAGGCCAGCTGAAGGCGTAGGATCCTCTGGAACTGAAGTTACAAATGGTTGTTAGCTTCCATGTGGGTGCTGGGATCCAAACCTAGGTCCTCTGCAGGAGCAGCCAGACCCTATCTCAAAAACAAACAGACCCTATCTCAAAAAATAATAATCCCATGCCACCAACCCAGGACCCAGAAAGCACAGGAAAACGATGACCCTAGGAAGACCCCAGGATGGCTGTCATCTGCAGGAAGTGACTGTGACATCCCGTAGTGCCATATTACTGTTACCCAGCACCCATCAAAGGGTGCCGTGATGGGAAACAAGCTGTGTAACTGATCTGTTATTCTTTCAGACAATCGTCTGTACTTTCTTTCAAATTGTTGTCTTGTTTTTGTGTAATAAGGTCTCATTGTATAGCCCAGGCTGGCCTAAAACTCCAGACCTTCCTGATTCAGTATCCTAAGTGCTAGCGTACACAGGCATGTACCACCATACCTGGCTTCAAAGTTTGCTTCTTTATTACATCTATGAATCACATATGGGTGGAGTGGGTGTTCTGCAGAATCACTAATGAGCTTAGCACAATGGAGGTGCCATCATCTTTTATTGCTATTACCGTGACAGTGCTGGTGTAGAACATGGAGGCCTGTACACACAAGGCAAGCAATCTGCTAACTGCCCTACGCCTTCAGGCCTTACTTTAAACTTTCTTATTTTGTTTTGTCTTTTTGAGATAGGGACTCCCTGTAGCCCAGCTGGCCTATACAGACCAGGTTGCTATATAGACCAGGTTGGCTCGATCTCACAGAGATCTTCCTGCCTCTGCCCCACATCCCCCTGAATGCTGTATCAAAGGCATGTGTCGCCACAGCTGGCTAAGTTACACTTTCTTAAGAGGAGACAGCACTATGCTACATCAAGAACGCTTCTTCTGATTCTTTGGTGTCCCTCCACCCTAATCCCTCCCCCCTTTCCCTTGGAGACACCAGCCTGCTTCTCACTGGCCTGTTGTAATTTCAGTGGCATTTGGTTTAAGAAGGCCTGAAGAAGAGGGACATCGGTAAAGTTTCCACTGCATAAAAAGCCATTTGTCCCAATAACATAAAATTCTAGAGGCTGGAGAGATAGCTCAATGGCTAAGAACACTGGCTGCTCCTGCAGAGGACCTAGGTTTGGATCCCAGCACCCACATGGAAGCTAACAACCATCTGTAACTTCAGTTCCAGAGGATCCTACGCCTTCTGCTGGGCATTGTACACACGTAGTACATTTACATACATGCAGGCAAAACACTCACATAAAACAAAAATCAATCAATCAAAAATTTCTTAATTCTACCTATAAGGGTAAAATTGTGGGTTCCTTAATTAAGGGAATTGCTCTAAAGGTACAAATTAATTCATTTATTGCAGAAAATATGCAGTCCTCAGCAAAGAAGGTCAAGATGTGGGGCTGTTGACATGCATTTAAATTAGGATTTAGTAAATTTGGTGAAAATATGGTCAGAGGGATCATAAGAGATAAACACGGAGCAGTTGCTTTCCTGAAAGGAACACTAGAATTTTGCTCCTTGGACTCAGAGCCGCAGCCGCAGCCGCAGCCACAGAGCTTGTGGAAACAGCCTCACACTCACATGGGTCCTGACATGACCTGAGGATGGGACATGACCCAGCACACAAAATCACTCAAACTAAGAGCTTCAAACCTTTGTGTTCACATTAAGGACATCTGTGGCAAGTCATGGAGATGGCTCAGTGAGTAAAAGTGCTTGCTGCCAAGTGATGACCTGCATTCCATCCCCAAAACCATATGGTAAAAGGAAGGGAGAACTGACTCCCACAAGCTGTTCTCGCGCTCCACTCCACCCCCCACCCCACCCCACCCCCGCGCGCACACACACACACGATATTATTTTCTGAAGAAAAAACATCCGAGACTGGGAACACCTATAATTGCATCACTCAGGAGGCTAAGGCAAGAGGATCAAAAACTCAAGGCTATCCTGGGCAACATGGAGATTTCCAGGCCAACTAGGGCTACAGAGAATTTCAAGCCCACCTAGGCTACATAGAAAGACTCTGTCTCAAAACAACTACAATAAAATTTTTTTTTTTTAATTTTAAACTACGAAACTGCCCAGGGCATAAAGGCCATGGGTATCCAAAAAGCCACCAAGTATCTGAAAAATGTCACTTTATAGAAGGAATGTGTGTCATTCCATCATGACAGTGTTGTAGGCAGCAGGTATATCCAGGCCAAACACTGGGGCTGGGTACAGGGCATGTGGCCCAGAAAACACACTTTGTATGTGCTTTAAACAAAACAACAAAACTAAAGCAGAGAGCGTACTGCTGAACTTGAGGGTCTGGGCAGAGACCCTAGTCAGGGAACACCTCCAGGCAGACAAAGCAGAACTTTCAGAGCTCATGGTGGGTTTGAAACACACTGGTGCCCCACCACCACCACCACCACCTGCAGACGCTCCTCATGGAGAAGGAATAAACTGAACCAGAAGAAAATGAGATCTCAGAAGGAACCGAAACAACACAGGCTTATGGCACAGGGAGAGAGTATAAGTAAAATAACTCCAACAGCCGAGAAAGACAGACGGAGAGGCATGGAAAGAGGACGCGGGAGGGGACTTGCAGGCCCCTGAGAGTCACTGTTCACACATCTTTAATCCCAACACTTGGGAGGCAGAGGCAGGCGGATCTCTGTGAGTTTGAGGCCAGCCTGGCCTACATAGGGAGTTCCAGACCAGCCCGGGCTACAGGGAGACCGTGCCTCAAACACAGAAAAATAAATAAATGAATGAATGAAGCAGCAGAGGGGCTGAGTGGCTGAGGAAACTGCCTGTGGCACAGAGTAGCTAAATTACTTGCCCAAAATCACATGGTGAGGGAATCTAATCTGGCATTTGAGCAAGATTCCCCAGGTGATTTGAATGCAAATAGAAGTTTTCAAAGGACTATTCTAGAAGAAAATATGTGTATTAAAGAAGGTCTGCTTGGTCTCCCCAGGTATCCCTCAGGTTCACTCAGGAGAATTAATAATAATCCCAATTATTAACTATTTACTCCAAGTCAAGACTGAATAGCCTCACTTGGAAGGTGTTTGAATTGAGCAAAGTATTACTGTGGGTAACACTTCCAGCTTCCAGGGTACATGGCATTCTATTCACATACTAACTGCCTTTAGTTCCTTTTGGCTGATTACTTAAAGCAACAGGGACACTGATTCCATATGTACATGAAACACTCCCACTTTCTAATTCATGCCTCCCTTCCCCACCAAAGGTCCTTCTTCCTCCCTAGTCCCTGTCTGAGCTACAGGAGAGACCACAGGACCTTCCCAGGAACTTCCCGCAGGCCTGCCCACCAGGCAGGAACTGAAGACGCTTTAGCTTCTCAAAGACAGTGGCAAGTACTAGCATCCAAAAACTACTCTCCTATGCACACTTGTCTCCAACTGTTAGCCTCACTTTCTCCTTTAGACCGTAAGTCTACACAGGTCGTGCCTGGGGGCACTTTCTGAAGGCAGACAGTGGAGGCTCTCAATGCAGCATAACTAACTCCTAAAGACTCCTGTCTTCTATTTCATATGGCTATGAAATGCTACCCAGCACGTATATGTATGCATGAAGCATGAGGTGCTGTGTGTGTGTGTGTGTGTGTGTGTGTGTGTGTTGTATTCACGTGCATGTGCAAGTACACATACCTCTGCATGCCTGTGGAGGCCAGAAGAGGACGTCAGGTGTCCTGCTCTATCACTCTCTGCCTTAGTCCTCTGAGACAGTCTCTCACTGAGCCTGGAGCTAGGCTGGCAGGTAGCAAGGCCCAGTCATCCTCCAGGGTGTTCAGAGCCATACCCAGCAGTTGTTGGTTTGGGGGGTTGTTTTTTTTTTAAACCTGAGTATTGGGGATTAGAATTCAAATTCTACTAGGAGAACTCTACTAGCAGAATTTAGGGTCCAAACTATTGTGAACTTCAGTTGGAAAAAGTCGCTCGATGGGGATAGTGCTCACTGGTAGAGTGTATTTATCCTGGGTTCAATCCCCAGCATCAAAATCG